TAATTAGCTAATGATCTCATGGAGGCTAGAGATGAACTTAGTTTATCAAAATTACATAATAAATTATCAAAGCATAAATTATTAATTATAGATGAAATAGGTTATGTTTCTTTATCAGCAACTGGAGCAGAGCTTATGTATGATATAATAAATCAACAATATGAAGTTAGCTCATTAATTATGATAAGTAATCTTGAATTCTCAAATTGGATCCAAGCTTTTAAATCAGATAAGCTTACAGCTGCATTATTAGATAGAATTACTCATTACAGTAATATTATTAAAATGAATGGCGATAGCTACAGATTTAGCAATTCTATAGCTAAACGAAAATAACGATTAAGTAATGATTTAAATATCCGAACATTTAGCTTAGCTTGAGCTACACTCTGGCTCACTCAGCTAAATATTCTTACTCACTACCAAAATAAAAATAATGAAAAGAGTCTATGGCTATTTAGATTTTACTGGTGCACTTTTGCGTGCCTATAGTGGTGCATTTTTACTTCCTTATTGGCACCAATATTCAAATGCACTTACATGACCATTAAACCATGATATCTGCTCTTCTGTTAAATATATTTTTGCAAAAATATCTCCACTTTTACACAATGTCATTACTATATAGCTTATTTTTACTTTTTGTCCATTTATTACCCCCTATACACTTCCCAAAATCAAATTGTGCATTGCCATAATCATGCTTTAAAGGCATATATACTTCTTTTTTATTTCTTTATGCTCATTGCCATATCTTCTTACAGCATCATAGATTCCTTTATATCCATCTTCTTTTTTAAGTCTTTCATATATTCTTTTACTTGTATGATGCTGTTATTTCCCTACTTTTAAATCATTTTTTAATATTAAATTTATTTTATCTTTATATTATCCTATCTTAGGATATAATTTACCTTTTTTCCTTTTGTATTTTGGTGGAGTAGCGTATTTACATATTTTCGCTACTGTTTTGCGATTTATCCCATATAGCTTTGCTGCCTCTCTTTTACTGAGACCTTCTACTAATACTGATCTTCTTACTTTTTCATACATCTGCACTTTATACAATTTTTACCTCTATTAAG